CTGTGGCCCGGGCTCGTGGCCCGTCCCTGCGGCCACTCGGCTGCTTTCATTTTCCGAAGCAGGAAGCAGGCTCCCACCCCCAGAAGCCGGGCTCCCGCTGCGGGAAGAGCCGCCCAGCTATGCCCTCCAGCTATGCCTTCCAGGCTTGCTGTGCTGGTCCAGGCCCACCCTGTCCTGGGAAACGACACCTTCCTGAGCAGGCGGCACCCCTGCGCCCAGCTCCTCAGGTCTTGGCCGCCTGCCCTTCGCCCGTTGAGGGCCTGCAGTCAGGGCCAGGCCGAGGTCCCACCGGAACCAGCGTCGCGGGCTGCAGGGCCCCTCGGGGGGGCCTTGCACAGACGCCCACGAGGGACGCCTCCGTTCCTTAGACTGCCGGCAGAGCTGCTGAGGCTGAGTCCCTCCTGATAGGTCGCGTACTAGCGTCACCCACGAACCCTCACCTGGCTAATCGACGCTCTCCCTTTCCCCCTGCAGCCGAAGGCGCTGAAGCTTCTGGGAATGGAAGTGAGTAGTGCTAGTTTTAGTCTCGTGGCGTCCTGGTCAGCTGCAGGAGTCCCTCTGAGTTCTCTACCTGCCTAACACGACATCCACAAAACTTGTTTTCCATGAACAAACCAACTCAACTGCTCAAATGAGAAAAGAGTCATGTGCATTTTTAAGTTTCCCCAGAGAGCCTCGATGCTCAGAGACAGAGAGAGAGGGCAAGTGAGAAGCCCCCCAGGGCTGTCCCTTCTCCAGCTCTCCTCCCTGCGGGATTTTGGGTGCGCGTGTAAGCACACACGCACACACACACACGAGCCTCGATGCTCAGAGACAGAGAGAGAGGGCAAGTGAGAAGCCCCCCAGGGCTGTCCCTTCTCCAGCTCTCCTCCCTGCGGGATTTTGGGTGCGCGTGTAAGCACACACGCACACACACACACACACTCTCCTGCCATGTTCTCGAGCGGCTGGGTCTGGGCCTTGGACTACACAGACAGCTTTGTGTAGCGTTCTGACAACTCACTGTCCCCACAGTCAGGACGCCCTTCCGCCCCTGCCCCCTGCTCCCTTTCAGGACTGTCCCAGGGTCCCAGGGACACGGGAAGGGTCGGCCTACCCCCTGCACACATGAGCGTGTGCCTTCCCAGACAGCAGGCGTGCCGACCTGGTGAGAAAGCTGAGCCACAGGGCCCGGACGTGGTCCCCCATGCACACTCGGTTTCCCTGACCCATGTTCGTCACCACGGCGGCCCAGAAAGCTGACTGATGTGACGAGGGCAGAGGGCACCCTGGGGTTTGCCGGGAGGGACGCAGGCACTGGCCATGCCTTACCCTGCCGCAGCGAGCTCGGGACACCAGAGGAGGCGTGGGTGGGGCGCAGACCCCCCGCACACCAGCACGTGCCCCTGGGTAGAAAGCCCACCCGCCAGCTGCGGCTCAGACACCGCCTCTCCCACACCGTGACCCTGCTCCTCTCCCCAGGATGACGAGCCTCCAGCCAAAGGGAAGAAGAAGAAGAAGAAGGAGGAGGAGGCCGAGGTGGATGTGGACGACCCTGCCGTGAGCCGCTTCCAGTACCCCTTCAACGAGCTGCTGGTGTGGGCCGTGCTCATGAAACGCCAGAAGATGGCGGTGTTCCTGTGGCAGCGCGGCGAGGAGGGCATGGCCAAGGCCCTGGTGGCCTGCAAGGTCTACAAGGCCATGGCCCACGAGTCCTCCGAGAGCGAGCTGGTGGACGACATCTCCCAGGACCTGGACAACAACTCCAAGTAAGTGCCCGGTGGCCGCCCTGTGGGACCGGCACCCACCAGGCCAGGCCCAGCCCACACCCGCATCCCTCGGGCCGAGGGCAGGCACGGTCAGCCCGAGCTCACTGACGGGTGCCCACCAGGCCGGGCCCAGCCCAGGGCCCTCACACCCCTGCGTCCCGAGGGCGAGGACAGGCACAGTCAGCCCGAGCTCGCTGACGGGTGCCCACCAGGCCAGGCCCAGCCCAGGGCCCTCACACCCCTGCGTCCCGAGGGCGAGGACAGGCACAGTCAGCCCGAGCTCGCTGACGGGTGCCCACCAGGCCGGGCCCAGCCCAAGGTCCCTCACATCCCCACATCCCGAGGGCGAGGACAGGCACGGTGGCTGAGCAGCCGCCTGCCTGGCGCCTGCGGGCACTCCGCCCTGCGCTCCTTGCTCCAGAGGACTCCGAGGTGCCCAGCGCCCATGCGGTCCAGTGGCTCCGTGTCCCTGGCCGGCCACGTCAGCCTCGCCCTGCCCGTCTCTGGCACAGGGACTTCGGCCAGCTGGCCCTGGACCTGCTGGATCAGTCCTACAGGCACGACGAGCAGGTGGCCATGAAGCTGCTGACCTACGAGCTGAAGAACTGGAGCAACTCCACCTGCCTCAAGCTGGCCGTGGCTGCCAAGCACCGCGACTTCATCGCACACACCTGCAGCCAGATGCTGCTGACCGACATGTGGATGGGCCGGCTGCGCATGCGCAAGAACCCCGGCCTGAAGGTGCGTAGCCCTGGGCCTCCCTCCACGCTCCGTGGGCACCGACTGTCCTGGCCAGGGAGCGAGGTCCCCGAGACCCTGCCCTCCATGCGCCGTGGGCCCCAGGACCCCGGTCCTGGCTCACTAGGATAGCCTGGAGCCTCTGGACCAGGAGGCTCACCCCGCACCTCGGCTGGGCCCCCTGGCTCCTGGTCAGTGCCTGTCAGGGAGCCACCAGGACCCGCCGAGCGCCCAGTAGGTCACCCCCACAGCAAAGCAGCCACTAAGCCCCATGTCTCCAGATGCCCTTGCAACTCTGTACCTGGGGGTGGTGTCTCAGCTGGTGATGTTTCCACATGCGGGTTTCTGAGCGGACAGGCAGGGCCAAAGGCTGAAAAGGGCAGAGCCAGAGGAGACCGCACAGCCTGCAGCCGATCCGCTCTCTGTGCTTCTGGAGCCCCGTGGTACAGGGCAGGAAGACCTCTGAGGGACAGAGCACTGTGTCACCACGTTTTGTCACACTCTTTTATTGTTAGTTCTCTTACTGTGCATCATTTTCAAAATTTGCTACAGGGCCTGTGCACTTACCCAAGAAAGAGACAGAGGGAGAGCAAGAATCGCTGCTGGGGCATGGCCTCATCGCGATCTCTTCTCTTCCATCCTATCCTCGGGGTCTGGGGGATGCATACCCAGAACCTGGCACTTTTCTCAAACCACCAGGTCTGAAACTCAAACCATGGTCAGCCATATGGGATCCGGCCCCTACCCTAACCACTATGGCACCTGCTAGCCCACATTGGCCTCATTTTTTTCTTTTTTTATAGAGAGACTTTTGCTATAGGGCATGTGTGCTTGCTGGACACAGACAGAGACACCGAAGTGAGAGATCACCCTTGGGGGGTTGGCCACACGGAATCCCTTCTCCTCTATTCTCCTCTCAGCCTTTTGGGCACACACGCACACGTGCTCTGCTTGAATTTTAAGCCCCCGGGTCCGGGTTCAAACCGTGTTTGACCGTGTGGAAGTCCAGCGACATAACCATTGAGCCACGTGGTGCCAAGGTCCTGAAGGTTTTAGAGAAAGCAGAGCAGGTCCCCTACAGGGCTGCATGCCGACTGGTATCAGACCGCCTCGTTGGTGCTGAGCCCGGAGGAGGTGGGCTGGGTGCCCAGGTCTGAGGGAAGCATATTTGAAACCTGGCCTTCCCCGCCTTGTTCGGCTGTTTGAAAACATGGGGCGGAACATCTAAGGCCTCGTGGCAGCATGAGTGCACGCACTGCCGTGTGGTGCTGTGGCCAGAGAGAGGCCCTGGTTCAAGTCTTGGCCAACACGGAGCCTGTAGGCACAGGGACAGGCACCTGGGACCCTGGGGCCCTGGGAGGTGGGGCAGAGGCGTCACGGGCAGCAAGGCCCGCTCTCTAAAGAATAAAAAGAATATATATTTAAAATAGGCAAAGACATCAAACCAAGCCCTTTCTACAGCCACTTAGGAACACTTCTTTAGCAGGTTCCCTACCCCGCAAAAGCAAAAATCCTAGAGGAGAGGGTGGCATGGAATGTGGGAAGTGAGCCGGGTTCTCGGGACCCCACGGGAGAGCTGCGCAGCGGGGCGGTCAGATGAGGGGCGAGGGACGGGAAAGACACTCCAGTGCTCAGCATGTCAGGAAGGGCAAGGCCTGCACGACAGGCTCTGGACACGCCTCTGGCCATGGCGGGGACGGCCTTGAGCAGTGGGCAGGGCACAGCAGCTCGCCTCTGCGAGGAGCCTCCCCCCCGCCCAGCCTGTCCAGGTTCCTGCTGGGAGCCAAGCCTTGGACTCAGGGCTCAGGGGCCCATGCTCACTTGGAAGTTATTTCGGAATAAAATGGTTTTGGTCTGCGTCACTAGAGGCATATGTTTTATCTCTTTTTGTGCTACATTTACCCTTTTTTTGGGGGCGAGAGTTTTTGCTACAGGGTATGTGCACTTGCCAGAAAGACAGAGGCACTGCATCTGTCCCCGCCCTCTCTCTCTGTCCCCGCCCTCTCTCTGTCCCCGCCCTCTCTCTGTCCTCGCCCTCTCTCTGTCCCCGCCCTCTCTCTGTCCTCGCCCTCTCTCTGT